CTATCGCGGGAATCCCGGTCTGCAAGGAGTTTCAGTCTGGCAAATGCGCTCGCGGCGCGCAGCGCTGTCGCTATTGGCACGTGAACGTAGAAGAGGAGCGCGAACGACGACTGCGTGGTCTTCCCCCGTCAGGTGGGCCTCTCGGCAGATTTGGTGGTCCGTCTGGGGGTCGCTACGGTGGTCCTCCAGGCGGTTCACTTTATGGAATAGCACCACTGGGTATGCGACGAGCAGGCCCTCCTCTTGATGGTCCATATGAGAAGAGATCCCGCATGGAAGAAAGTCGTGTTACCGAGCTTGAGCGTAAGAATGCAGAGCTTTCAAAGGAAGTAGAGACACTGAAAAGAGAGTTGCAACGCGAGCATGAACGCTATGAAGATCTTTACGCGCTATTTCGCCAGCAAAGTGGAGGCGCGGGTGCGGCCCCCTCGAAATCCGCTGCGCAGAGTGGCTATGGAGTAGGTGGTTATGGCAACTGGAACGCTGGCGGCGGTTGGCAGTAGATTGTGGTATTTGAGTCGCAAGCAGTTCTCATTCCCGTATGATCTTTTCTCGCAAGCGTGTTGTTGTTAATTGTCATTGTTATCTAAGTGAAGGCCGCAGTATGTATCATACTTAATCCTCTGCGTACGAATTTTATTTGCGGCGTGGGCTGCGATATGCGTTAATTGTACGTTAGTCGTTCACCTGCTACAAGCATTTCTGTATGAGTGGAAATAATGTTTCTTGGAATTTGCGCAATGTAGTGCTCCCATTCATAGTCGTATTCGAATTTACGTAGATTGTTTTGTTGGGTGTAATAACATTATTTTCTGGAAGTCTGTTGACATGTATATAAAGGTAGTTGTGGCCATATTGTTGCTATATTTGTCCTTCAGGATTGTAGATATATTGCTCATCGCACATTTTTTTGTATGCTAACACAGAATAAGGGAAGTTGAGGAACATTCTGGAGGTTCTGAAAACTTAAAGAAAGCTTATTTTGATAGTTGTGTAGGAACAGTGAATCATAGTGTATTAGCTTATTCTCTAGCAAAAGAAGAATATTGGTTGAAGTAGCTATCTTTAAAAAAAAGTAGATATATTTAGATGCAATTTGAAACGTTGACTCCAAACTAGCTTTTACATCCGCGAAGTTTGTGAAAAAAAAGTTATGAAGTTCTCTGCCAAAAGTTTTTACCCTAATAATTGTTCTCAGATACCAAACAAACTAGAAACCAAATTCAACCTAGAACAGCTATTCAGGAATTATCACTTGATTAAAAGTCGGTATAACAAAGTTCATCAAAATTAATAAAATCTCATGTGTTGCTGTTTT